TCTGGCAAATCTAGGATCAAAAATCTGTTTTTGGATTCGCCGAAAGGAACACACCCTATATGTATAGATATAGGGAATACATGGGCAAAAGTCTGTAAATGCACGTTATCCTGGAATGTTTTCATGCCGGTGAGGACCAAAACTGCAAATAATCAAATAGACTCAAATGCAAGGACAAATTCTTGAATAAGGCACAAACAGCACAAATGTTACCTGCTGTTGATTTCTGTCTTTCTACGAAGTTTCAGCTTAGTTTGACCAGTATAACATCACTTGACAATACAATGTAATAACACAGAGGAGGGTAGGACATAATCACCAACTTAGCGACAAAACTGGATTAAAAAACAGCTCCAAATTTCATTCCCTCAAGCTGAACAATAACTAAAGGGTAATGCACATGCACACGACATAATTTGAAAAGGCAGACAAATGACAAAAAAAACCTGCTAAAATGGACATCCTGAGTACCACAGGTTACCCAAGTACCACAGGATTCTCAAGATTAGGAGTTGCGTTCTCCTAGCAAACGCAATTAAAAGTTAAAAACATCAAGTGGTCACTAACCTGCTGCTGACTACTCCATTTAAATCAAGGAAGGTCCAGTTAAGATGAATATTGCTTGTGTAAAAGAATGAATTCCTTGGCAAGCCTTATGATGATTCCTGTCACTGCTTCTAAGTAAATACCATGCAACTCCAGAGATTTACTGAAAAGCTGGACTGAAAAAGAACAACCACAACACAATCAGACAGTTTTTGATGATATCCTTTGATAATATCATGCAAGTAAAACCATCACTCGGAATGCCAAATGCAAAATGCTCTAGGACTCTGACAGTTTGTAGACAGGAAAGCTTAGGAGCCTCTAGTTGTTGCAAGTCCCCCTTTCAGTTGATAAAATACTGATCAATTTCCCAAACGTGCACCAAAGGCGCAAGCTTCTAGTGGTGTCCGGAGGCAGGTTCTCCCAGGAAATTTTTTGGATTTTAACTCCTTAAAGTTCCCTTCCCTGGGTCATTCAGGTGGGATATTGGCCAGATTTCAACTTGGAAACTATGTTTTATCATTAAAAATATATTTATTATGGAAAATCTGACTGATTTGCGTAAAACCATGGAAATTAGTGTGGATCTGTACCTGAACAAGGGTAGATAACTTAATGATACAAAGTAAATTTTTTCCTTTCGCAGTAGTGCAGAGATTTTATAGTGAGATAATGAATATAAGAGAAACATATAATAATAGGAAATGCTGGGTGAAAAGAATTAAACAAATTTCTAGACGCAACTTTTGCAGTTGTGAAAAAAAGCCTAAAACAATTGAGGCTTGTGTGGGATTAAAAAACTTGACCTCTGTAATACCAGTGCAATGCCCTACAAATTGATTTACACGTAATAAACCAACTGGAAGCAGGTCACTGAGTCGGTCAGTTATGAGCCCATGAAAGATGATGATGAAATACCCTACATAATTATGTTGTTGCAAGTAAAAGCAGTACCTATAACTGCAATAGTCTTCTTTTAGTTAATTCTTTACCCCGTGCATGATTCCTATAAAGGGGCGGATCCAGGATTTTTTTTAGGAGAGAGTGCACTCGTCTCTTGCTCTACTTCAACACCAATAACCACATAGTTTTATTGCAGAATACCAGTTATATTAGAAAACCGCAGGTCATCTCAGGGGGCGGGGGGGGTGCACCCCCTGCACCCTCCCCCTAGATCCATCCCTGCTATATTTAAGAAATAAAGAGGCCTTGACTGTGCTCTGTTCTGTTCTAAAGCATGCACGAAGCAGCCAGAGCAGGAAAGAAGTGTAGGGGGAAACCATCTCTATCTTATCAATGTTACACTGCCTGTGAGGGTTCCATACACTACTGTCATACTCCAGTTTGGGGTTACAAGAGTAAGATAAGCTGTGTTCTTGACCTTGAATCATCTGGAGTACAATTCAACAAGATAAGATTCATTTCTCAACACCAAAAGAGTTCAGCAATTATTTAGAAAGGATAATCTAGTATTCAAACAAAGTTTCAACAAAGATAGACCACACTACATTCGTATTTGACCGAAAAATTCAGTGAAACAAACGGAAATATAAAGAATATCGATATCTGAGAAGTGATAACAACATGGGTCGAGTAGGGTCAACATCAACTTTAACAAGATCAGCATACCCTGTTGCTTATAATTAGGCCTCATTTAGCGAGAAATTTTTCAAGTTTTTCCTTGATGACTGTTCTTTGGAAGAGGAAAAGCTTTTCGTATTTTAACGTTAATTTTTCACTAACAAGGGAACCTTTTCAAGCTGATGTGAAAGAGGCTTTTACCGAAGATGTACACAAGACGACGTTAAAACTTGACCTTTGATCTCAACCAGAAAATAGAGCCAAACTCATATTGTTAAGTAAATAAATTAAAGCGCCAGCTTTAGTAGACCTCTTCTTTAAAAATACTAGTGTCAAGGAAAAAAGAGCAATATACCCAGCATATGAACCTATTTATGACTTTACTTGATACTCACGTGTAATGGTGGCCATGGCAAACCCACAACCAAACCAAACTTCAACAGTGTGTTATAGCGGGAAGTATTAAGACAGCTACGTCACGTAAACTAGAACAAAAGGCAACATCGCCCTTTAGACAATAATGGACCACTTTGAATTAGATAGTAGTCGTTGAGGAAATGTACAGGAGGCAAGCTTTAAAAATCCTGGACTTGGCCAAAAGATAATTCCCTGAGACGACCGAAACGTATCATGGGTCAAAACAGAGGCTGGGGGTTTGGAGATGAAAGGTTTGGCCTCTTTGGCCCCCCAAAAGTGATTTTCGTAGCACCCCCTTTGGGACCAAGTAATTTTGGTACGAAATTAAAGGTTATTGACTATATTTTATGTATTCACGTGTTGCCCGGCTGGCAACTTGCACGTTAAGGAGATAAGAGAGCGTTTTTAACGGGCGGAGGGTGGGGAGCATTTTTTGTCTTATAACTTCTGTATTATTAAAAAACAAATAACTTTGTAAGTGCCAATCAAATATGGGTAAAAACTTGTACTGCTTCTAAACAAGTTCATATTTATTACATTTCATGTTTGCATATACACTGCAGATTGCCATGGCAACGGTTACTGTGGAAATCCTTAGGTCATTTCTGAAACACCGTTTTCTCATTGTTTTCGTCGCTATTTTTAATCAAACTATCAAAAAAAACAATATATAGTGGTCAAAAAAACTACGTGACTATAGCGTGGTTTTCATTGTAACCAAATTGGTAGCTGTTTACCTTTACAAAGCATCCATACTCTTTTTTTTTTTAGGAGTGGGTGGTGGGCAGGGCAACGTCCAACAGAGCGCCAAAAATGCCCTAAAACGATGTTTTCCAAAAAATGTCCATTTTTACGACTCATTTTAACGTTATTTGCTAGAGACATGAGCTTAAACGTTTGCAAATGCAAATGTCCTCGCAGTTAGGTTGCCATGGCAACGGTGATATGTCCTCAAAAGGGACAGTGTCCCGATTACGGTGCACGCGCCAGCGTCATCTGTTTTTTCTTAAAAAGCCTCAAACGTTTGAAAGATATAAATAAAAATGCAATCTCAACGCTATGAACCTCGCAAAGGTTAGTCAAAGGTTTAGTCAAAAATTATTGTCCAAACATGTAGCGCCTGTTTGTTGGAATTTGTCGGCCTTAGGGAGTAAAAGTTTACGAACGCGTCGTTGCAAAACATGCTTAATTCCAGAAGATCTCCTCAGTCACATCAATGTCCCAATGGTTTCTTTTATTACAGTCTTTATTGTTGCTGTTTCATTTCTGCGCATTCCTTTCACAATTATCTGCGCTTGTATGGAAGCTGGCAGAAGAAATAAGCCTTCAATCGGTATTAAAGCGCTTCCCATCTTTTGGTCCTCCGGCCAACGATAATAAAAGTACCGCCAAAAAATCCCGATTTCACCCAAATCCAAACTTAACGAGAACAATATATCATTGATCTGCAATCCTGAGACGTTTTAGTGTAGTATTGAACTCGGCGAAGCGCGATGCAAACGGATGTTTTAAGGTTCTCTTACTCTCCTCGCATACTTTGATTTTCGCGACATCTTGTCCGAAAATCAAAGTTTGGTGCATGCGCAGTAACAGGATACTGTTAACTCTATAATGACTTGTTTTGACTTAGATTATTAATATCGCAAAGACGAAATATAGACCAAAGAAAGCCTAGTTGTCCCTTAGCTCGACTCTAATTGTAGTGTTATGTATCTATGAAGCTCAAAAGTACTTTCCTCGGGTTTGTAGTAGAGACTCTAGTTTTTTCTTAAAGGGTTGCAACTAGTATTTTACCAGCATGTGGTCTTTTTATAACAATCCTTTTGTAACTCGAGCTTATTTTTCTGTTGCCATGACAACCAATATTAATTATCAGAGGCCAGTAAAATCGCTGAATTGCTCGTTGTTCTTTGAGGCGTATTACTTGTCCTCTCGTTCTTCGTCACCTTCGTCATCATCCTCATCCTCCGGGCCTGTTACACTGTTGGTGAATTGGTCAGAACAGGAACACGCTTCAGTGCAAGGCAACCCATTTCTGACACAAGAACAACCTCTTGTTAAGCAAGTGCCTTGGCAACCACAGCAAACTATCTCCATAACGGCTTCTGGAGCGGGCGCAAGGCCAGTCCATACAATCTCAAGTTGACCGTCCCTCAGCTGCCAGCCTTGATTTTCCGGTCCAATGTCAGGAGATTGGGGGTCTAGAGCACACTTCCAGATATATGCTTGATAGTTTGCACGCTTGAGGTGGTTTTCCAAAGAGGCTCTTGTTGGGGGAAGCTGATGTGACCGCACATTCTTACCTTTACAAAACATTCTTATAACGCAGCTCATCGACACGGTCGCATTGGTGTTCATTATACAACTTGCAAACTACTTTCTCCAGCTTGATGATGTCGTGCTCACCTAGTGGAATGGTCTCACCAAGGATTTGGACGGTTTCCCTTGAGATCTGGTCATCTTTGATTAATTTGAGCGCCTTTTTCTTGCCCTTTCCAACAAACGAGCTGGCAGTATCGCAGCCTCTCGAAGCGTGCAAACTTGGAAGAACCTGACATACTCTATGACCAAGCTTTTCACAGAGTCGCCTAATGCTTACCAAAGGCGATCTACTCCTTGTGCCACTTATCAGTATTATTTCGGCAGGGAGGCTGTTTGATGGTGGCTCGCCAGTACTTCGACATCTGTATCTGACGAGAATACTGCAATGCTGTGATGTCCATCTGCAGAAGCATGGAAGGCGTGAAGAAACATCCTCGTATCTGCCTCTTCCTGAGTGCTATGAAGATCCACAGCATCTGTTGCGGTCATTCTACCTCAAAGGCGTTAAGTTTGGTACATCTGTTTTCGTGAGTGACGTACAATACACGGTTTCCAATCTTCTGAGCATAAGCTTGGTTTGTTGACCATTCATGGACGAGAAAGTTCAGCAGACCCTCTTTATTGCTACCAGTGGACATAAATTTTTTCCATTGCCGTGGGCACAACTGTTGTGGGCTAGTGATGTTGACGGCTAGTTGGCCACTACTACCTCTTCTCTCTCTCTTTATGTTTTTTATTGAGATTTCAGGATACTGATCACGTACGAAGTCGACCCTTGTTGCCTCTCCAGCTTGCAACAAGATTCTATTGAACACCATCTCTGCCAAGTCAGAAAATCTATCTGGAATCTTGCTGAGCGTCTGTAGTATTGCCACTGCATCCATGATGACTGCTGATGTTTGAGCTGGTAGATGTTGGAGGCTGTCAACACCGTCCTCAAGAAGTTTGGGAAGAGCAGCTTTATTGGTTTTCACCAAGGACCGTCAAATGAAACCAGTGACCAGGGAGAGGGCCAAGCTCGTGCACTAACAACTCTCACAAATCCGGCACTTTCCGACTTTGGCCCGGATAACTAGCAATCGTGCAAAGAGATTTCTGTCTGCTCTCAAAATGACAGTCCTTCGTTCCTTAGACAACGACGACGACTTCTTAACATTACTAAAATTGCCCAACTTCAACTTAGAATGAGAACAAGAGTCTAAAGCTGAGCTCTTGGACACTCAAACCAGTTTAAAAAGCTTTAAAGTGAAAATTTCGTTAAAACCTTCTCTGTTTCAAAATCCAAGGAATCAGTGAAAAGTAATTTTGTCAAAAATTATTAGTTACACGAGTTCTTATCGGCAGTTGTGTTGCTTCCCAAATTACATGTAAATAAGTATTTTGTTTAAGTCTGTTACCTTTCCAAGTCTTAAGACTTTTAGTTGTCATAGCTATTGTGTGCTCTTCTTATATTAATGTTTTGTATTCATATATAAAGTTAAACATTTCAGACTTCTTTAACAGCGTAGAAATAGCGTTTTTCCTCTTCTTTCTCTTTTTTTATTTGTGCTTCACTTATCCGGCTGACCTGTACTTTATTTCTATTTAATGCTGATGTCAACTGGCTGCCTAGCTCCGCCAGCCCCTATGGTTATTCCGGGTAGCTAGTACACTAATTTTATTTTTAATATTTTCATTGTCTTAATGTAGAGAGTAAAAATAATAATTGTTAGTTGTTGATGTTGTGATCAGTCCAGTACTAAGGTGTCCCTGAAAGGAGGTTAAAACCGGGTTTAATTCGGTACCAGAAAAAGGGTTCCTTTCCCCTGAATAGAGGTGTCCGTTCAATAGAGGTTAGCCTGAATTTCATCCGATTACTTCGAGTCGTTATTACTCCCTCAGTAACGTCTGAATCGACCGGCCGTTAATGCCGTCCAGTGACGTCACTACTCCTTGACCTTTGGTTTAATTCATGCAAAAAGTAAAACACGATTTTCAAGTGGCAAACCGAGAAATATCGTTTGGAAATGTCTGCATGATACAGAACTGCTTTATTTTTTTCGATCGTAATTCATGCATTTAACGTTCAAACTATCAACTGCATGCAGTACAACTCTGAACCGGTTGTATTAAATTCTTGATAATCAAACTCTGTCGCAATCAAGCAATGAAATAAACACACACACGGAACACTTAGTTCAAAAACACAATGATTTGCTTTAATTAAAAAGAAGCTTGGTCCTTAACGAAGAAAAAAAAACAAGGAGACAAGAAAGAAAAGCTAACAGAATCATTACACTTGACGGTAAAAATAGCAAGAAGGTCGAATTATAACATTGATCTCAGAAAACTTCGCGTAAACAAAATCACCGGCCCCCGAAACCATAAAGCGGCTATAAATGAAAAACCTACCGACTCTCCGCAATGATTCTTCATTCGCAGTTCAATTTACCATTTCAGTTTCGAAAACAAGGGAAATTTTGCTGTTTAAGATAAAGATTAAGCTTATGGAAATGTTTGAACTAAACGAAAGAATGCC